AAGTTAATGAGATCCAAGACCAGAGACCAAGAAAAGTGGGAGGTAGTACCATCTTCAGGTGTCCTAACAGTCAGCGAGAGACGAGATGCTTTTTGAGACCTTTGCCTAGCAGCACAAGAGGGCGTCAACTTCCCAAGCACCACAACAGACAGACTAGTCGTTTACAGAGACCAAACAAATGGACTTCTAGTTTGTGGTGGCAGAATCCAGACCTTCAAAAAAGACCGCAAAGCCGTTCCCCTTCTACCATTCCAAGTCTGATTATCCACCCTCCTTGCCAGAGAAGCACACAGCGAGGGACATGACGGAGTGGCAGGAACCTTACTGCGAATGAGAATGAAGGCTTGGGTTGTCAGAGGAAGAATTATTGCCCAAAAGGTCGTTGACCAGTGCATCATCTGCAAGAAGGCAAAGGCAAGAACCTGCAAGCAAGTAATGGGAGACTTACCTGAAGAGAGGTCAAATTCTGCTGCACCATTTGAATTCACATCCGTTGACCTGTTTGGACCCTATCATGTGAGGGATGATGAAAAGAGAAGAGTGACCATGAAAGTTTGGGGAGTTGTGTTTTGCTGTACGGCAAGCCGAGCTATTCATGTCGAACTAGTGAGCACACTATCAACAGAGAGCTTCCTGCTTGCCTACCAGAGGTTCACTTCTGTCCGAGGCCATCCCCGAAAAATCTGGTCAGATCCTGGCACAAACTTTGTCGGCGCCAAACCTGTATTAGAAGAAATGTATGCTTACCTGAGACATCAAAACAAGGAGTCGCTTGAAGAATACTCTGCCAAAAATGAGACCACCTGGGCATGGAAGAGTCTTCCCGCTGACTCACCTCACCGAAATGGGGCCGCCGAAGCTGCTGTCAGAGTTACCAAGAGAGCCCTTCATACTTTTGGCAATACAGAGGCTCTTACCTTCAGTGAGTTTCTGACAGCACTCCAGCTAGCTGCCAACCTTGGAAATGAGAGACCCATTGATGCCAGAATTCAGAGCCGAGAAGATCGCATTGACTACATCACGCCGAATAATCTGTTGCTTGGTCGAGCCACACAAAGTGGGGACTTCAAAACTATCAACTTCACAAATTATCCTTTCAAAAGGATGAAAGAAGTACAAACCATGGTCAACAACTTCTGGAGGTCCTGGAGCCAACTTGCTGGACCAAACCTGTCCATCCGCAGTAAGTGGCTTGCTGCAGAGAGAAACATTGCTGTTGGAGACATAGTTTGGCTCTGCGACCAAAATGCCCTTAGAGGGCAATTCAGACTCGCAAAAGTCATCAGCGTGAATCCTGATTCCAGAGGAATCGTTCAAGATGTGCATGTGAGGGTCTCTCCAAGTTCCAGCATTGCAGTCAAGAGTCCAAAATCTGCTACCAGAAGTCCTGAGCTGAGCACCATTTTACATCGGGACATCTGGCGTCTTGTGGTCCTTTTACTGGTGGAAGATCAAGCCAGGGACCAGCCCACCTGAGTGTGATCTTTCCAGGCAGTGCTGAGCAAAGATCGAGTGGGAGGTGTCACGCTGACCTAGTAGGTGTGGCTGTTACTCTTCTCTTCCTCCTCTTGCCCACTACCTGCTCTGTGCTGCTGCTTGCGCGTGGCCGCTGATTAGACCTTGTGCAATCTACAGCTAAGCGCGGCCTGGTGTGCGCCGCTCCGCCAGGTGAGCTGAATTAAAGCAATCAAGGGCTGGCGTGCCTAGTAGACCTTAAAATGCATGCAGCAGTCATTTGACCCGGGTGCGACATACTGAGAGGACAGCAAACAAAGCACAATCCACTTTCCACTGTGAGGAAGACTTTGAGCTAGACGGGCTATCGGTAAGCTCTTGGACTCATATTTGCTGCTTATATGTTTGGGAACTGTGGAAGCTCAATTGTGGAAATGTATTTATGTTTTGGGAAATAGTTACTGCATTTAAGTTAAAAAAACAATATAAAAACAAAAAAAAATGTTTAAGTTTGAATAAATTATTTATGTAGATAGTGTTTCCCACATATATGTTAATTAATTCTAAAAATAGTTACCCCAAATCCTTGGTTAAATCTTAAAACTAGTGTAAATATGTTTGGTTTAATTTAAGGAAAATAATTCTTTGTAAAAAAAAATCCTTGGTTAAGTCTCTATTAAAATATTTGCAAACTCTAAAATGTATACTTTAAAAATGTAATTGTTTATAAAAAAAAGTGTAAAATGCAAGGTAGACACATTTTGTGTATTTAAGAACCACAGTTTATTTCATCTTTGTCGTTTGAAATTACTCAGCTCTGTGATTAAAAACCGATGAATGTAAAACTAACTTAAACTGGGTTAAATGATAGTTTAGACAAAAGTATTTAGTTTTAG